GATAAAACAAAATTATTTAAATTTTTTTACTTATAATATTATATTCAATTAATTTTTTTAATACTTTTTTATAAATTTTTTGATTAAAGAAAGAAATCATTTTTCTTTATGAATTGATTTTAAAATTAAAAATTATAATAATTTTAACTAAAATATTAATGAGAATTAAAAAAAAATTTAAAAATACAATTTTCACACTTAAAAAAAAGTGGACATTGAAAATGGAAAAAATTGAAACGCTGCTGTACAAACAAACCCATTCTGGACAGGAGAGGCGAGAACAAAAATTCAAGATTAGAAGCTTTACATGCTATGTGAAAGATGGAAAGAAAATTCAAGATTAGAAGCATTAAATGCTATGTGAAAAATGGAAAGAAAATGTTCAAAAAAGACGAACAAAGTGAGACAAATGAACCAGAAAAGGGGCGAGAAAGAGAGAAGAAAATTGAAGATCAGAAGTATTAAATGCCTTGTTAAATATGAAAAGGAAATGTCTATAAAGGACAAACAAAGGTGCATGGAAAACAACAAAAAAGAAGGGCTAAAAAGTAATAACATAATGACACTCAATGGCACAAATGCAATTACAATAGAAGATAATGAAAAAGAAAGAACTTGCATACGGAGAAGAAGGGAGAAGCTAAGTTTTTTTTTGAGTAATGAACAGCTGGGAAGTTATTGTTCATTTGAACAGTAAACTTCCCAGCTGTTTTAGTTTTTAGTAGAATAAAATAAATAGTAAATAGTTTCATGAATTCACCTCACGAGTCCAATTTGAATATTTTAAAAAACAATCCTATCGCCATCTAATATCTGCAAAGACAACAATATTTTGAACAGAGTCCTGGTTAGAGTAGCTATATGCGGAACCCCAGTTTCACATAAAATATACATAAATTCTATACGTTATAAAGAGATGCTTTTCATTTTATTTATTGTTCAAGAAGGATGCTTTTCTTTTATAATGATTTTTATAATGATTCGTATGATGTAGTATAAGTATAAGTTTTATTTTTGGTTATTAATATAAATTGAATCTATAAATTGAGCCAAATTGTTTAATTTATATATATTTATTAACAAAATAATTTATAATATTAGCATAAAAATTTGTATATAAATAATTGGAAGATTCTTTCAAAAAATTAATTAAATTATTTTATTTAAAAATATAGATTTTAAAACATTTAAAAAATAAATAACAAATAATTGGTGTTATTTGTGCATATATATAATTAATTTCTAACAAAATTATATATGTAATACTTAGCAGATTCAGAATATATAAAATAAATAAATAAAATTTAAAAATACCCACCTAAATTACATGGAATATATTGAAGTGAATAGATTTAAATAAAAATTATAATAAAATTAGTTTTGATAAATTCAGATTATATATATTATAAGCAAATAAAATCTACAAATTTTTTTTTAACTAATAATTAATTTTTTTAAAAAAAATTTAGTCAAATTATCTAAAACACACTTGTAGCTCTATCTCTCTCATCAAAATTTATACATGCAACTACGCTACTCATTTAAAAATTATAAAAAAATAAATCATATAAATTATAATAATCTATTTAAAAAATAAAATAATCACGTTCTAAAATTTTATTTCAAAATACATTTATAAAAAAAATTTATTAGCAAATAAAATTATATCAAAAAATAAAAAAATTAATTGGATGAGAATTTTAATAAGAAACATACAATTGAAGAAATAAAATTTAAACAATAAGAATAATATATATATATAAACTAAAATATTAAAAAATATCATATATATTCTATTACGTTAAACTTTCATAAAACTAAAAAAAAAATATAACGTTCTATTTTCTATATTTTTACACCTAATTTCATGATAAAAATAAAAAAATAAATTAGTGGAGGAAAAAAAAGAAGGAAAAAAGTTCATGCATGTGCAGTTAGGCCAGCCCATCGTGGGTGGGCCTGCGAGCCAGGACTATTCAAAACATAGGAGACCCAATTGAGAATTTGTATTCTTGGTGACCCAATTAAGAATTGAGTGACAATTGGGGGATTAATTTGTTCGTTGCAAAACAATTGAAAAAAAGAAAAAAGAGATGGAGGACGCTGTTTTGGCAATGTATTAAGAATAATATAGCTAGAGGAGATTTCTTTGTGAGCAAATTATAAATTAGTTTCTCTAGATTTGCAAAATAAAAATAGTCATTTCTATTATTGTGCATATTTAATTTAATATTATTTTATTTCAAAACAAATTTCATCAATCTTTCTACGCTTTTTATTTTTTATTTTTTAAACTATTTTATTGCTTGATTTTTTTTGAAAAATAGCATGAAGAGGGCAAAGAAAGGACTAATGAATTAGATTTAAAAAAACACTACATGAATTATTTAATTCATTTTGTAAAATTAGAGGACCTAATTTATAAATTTCTTTCTTTGGTAATGAATTATTTTTGCTTTGCCGGGTGGGCTTGCGAGGTGTGAGCCAGGCCTGTGCGCTAGGGCTGCTTCTCCACTCTAGGCCTCCGTTGCTGGCTAGCCCAAAGGAAAAAAAAAAAAGGTTAGGCATGTGAAGTTAGTCAGTCTAAAAGAAAAAGGAAAAGAAAAACATGCAACTTCAACTTTAGACAAGCTCAAGCTCGTTGGAAGCTTCGTTGAAAAATCGAAGGTCAATTTTCAGACCTCAACATGCTCAATTTCGACATTATTTTTTCTCCCAAACACCTCTAAATAACCGAAATAAAGCCAACGCAAACTTTTAAGGAATTAAAAATTCATTTTAATGCACATTAAAATAAAAAAAAATACATAATCAAATCGATTTTTTTTTCTTTTTTGGCTACGATCTACATCTTTCAATTATTTAATGGCTTAAAACACTATAAACAAATTCATCTCTCAAAAATAAAAAAATATAATGGAGTTTCGTTGGCCAAAGTGGCTTAAAGAAGGTTGGCCGATGCTCTCTCTCTCTCCCCTCCCGTCTCTCTCTTCTTTCCTCTCTCCTCTCTCCTTTATACACTTAGGGACCAAAATGTATCAGCAAATTAATATATGGATTGAAAAAAAATGTTCAAAAATATTAAGGATCAAAGTATAAAAATTTGTATAACTTTTATATTATTGCCTTCGAAAGTTCAAAAAAATAACAAAAAAATCAAGCTATAGTAAATAAATAGTGATAAACAATCAACGACTCAGTTCCTTAGTTTTTTCTTTTTCTTTTAATAGGTACATAGAGTATAATAATTATGTATTTGATATTTTTTTTAGGTAAAATAAATTTGAATTTTAATAATTTGAATTTATTTAATTATTATATGATGGATGATTAGTATTCTTGTCATGTATAGATCAAGATCTAAAAAAATTCGAATAAATACCCAAATAAATTTAGTATAGCAGATGTATATTCAGTTAATTTTTTTAATGAAAAAATTTGAAATTTAATGACTTTAAATTTTTTTTAGTAATTATTTAATAGAAAAAAACTACTATTGAGTAGCTTAAAAATCTACGAATTTACTTAAAAAAAAAAAATTATTGTAGACGATTTCTGTTGTCTCCACTAAACAAAGCGCGTACGGGCTTGCATCTGCATATTAGAGGGTCCAAAAGCTGGACCCAAAACTTAGGACTCTAAACTCAAAAGATCTGGCAAGTTGCACATATGGATATGGTCAACATCCCTGACGTCCCTTTTCCCTGTTCTTGCAGTCAATGCCTTCCAATTTACCGTGGCCATCTAATCTATAGATATAAAAAATTAGAGTTTGCGATTGGTTTTTTATTAACGGTTTAAAAAACATCGTTAAAGTGAAAGAATTAGTGATGGATTTTCAAAAACATCATTAATTAATTAACGATAAGCTTTTTAACTATAATTTTTAATTATTATAAAACCGTCATTAACGTTAACGTTACGGTTTAAATTGTAGTTATATATATAAATATAAAGAAATAAAAAAGAAATTAAAATATTCAGAGCTTGAGAATTTAAACGATTTTTAAAGTTTTATTTTTCTCCTATAAAAATAATATTTTTAAGACACAATTAAGCCTTTCAACTCTCTAAAAGAATAATTAAAAAAAAAGATAGAATAAAAAAAATACATTTTAAATCTATATATTTTTTCTGTGTAATAAAATGTCTTTAGTAAGAGACTTAAAACGATACAATGAAATCATATGAATTTTAACAAAGATAAGTTTTTAAATTAAATATAAAAACTAAACATCAATATTAAATTCATCTTTGTTAATATTAATTATTTATGTACAAAATAAGTAATAATTCCTATGGATGTTTATGAGCTTAAAGTATGTAATGGAATTCATTTAAATTAAAATATGTTTAGAATATTGCATTAAGTGGCATCTTATTTATTGAGATCAAAATAGATGAATCAAACTACTAGCTAGTCAAATAATTTTGCCCTCAAATTAGTTTCTTATGAATAGCAATATTATTCCATTTTCTCCATTTTATGATATGGTCAACTCTGAAGTCCAAATCTTACGTGCCTTCATACAAATGAGCTTCCTATGAATTTCGATGAAAGTTTTCCCACATTATTCTTCCTATTTCCTCTTCTTTGGATTATAGTGACCCGAACAGCGCGTGGACTTCCAATTCTCACAACTCTGATTCTTTCAACTCCATTAGTCTCATCTTCTTCCTATGAAACTCCAGCTTCATCTGTCTCATTTCCTTGCTATAAAACCCCCCATGAGCCCCTCATCAAAACCAACATTCAAAAATTTCTCTTTATATATATATTCTCTCTCGATCTCTAATGGCAAACCCACGTGAATCCAATAAAAATCTCAGGCCAATTCTGTTCTTTTTCTTCATCATGTCCCTATCTGGGTTATCATCAGCTAGACCCACTGCACACTCATCTCTTACAAAGCATAACCGCAACAGAACCAGCCTTCAATCTTACAATCCCTAGGGACAATATCGATGATGTGTCTGTGAATCCCACGGTGGAGAAAGTTCTAAGCATGTTGTAGCATGCGACATGCAACTCTGCGAGGGCTCCAATATCGGTCAGCAAGACTTGCCAGTAAATTTGGACCCATGATTCTGAATTTGCTTCCAAAGGGAACAATCCCACCTTCTGGACCAAGCAAAGGAACTGACAGCCTTAAAAATTAAGGGCAGATAGCTAAAGGGTCATTGAATTCTAATATCTCTAATTTATTTATTTATTATATAATAGAAAAGGTCCCATCGTATGTCTTCTGTTTCTTGTATTTGTTATAAATATTCATTTATTGTCCTTGTATTTTATTGTTTTTAGTTCATCGGTTGGTTTTCTAAATATATATCCGATTACACAAATCACTGGATTTACAGATATTTAGAATTTCCGAATTGTCAATGTAATTTAATCAACGAAATGATTCATTCATCTACAGTTATATAAATTTTTGCTTCATACTAGAAAATTACACACTCTCAACCTACTTGTTTTGATGATGTTTATCAATATGTTTTAGATGTTTTTTTCATTGAAAATATGGCATGTTACCAAAGTCCTGAGTTTTATATATATATATATATATATATATATATATATATTAGAGATATAAACTAGCTTACTTTGCTTAAATTCCTTGTCATGCCACGTTAAAAATGTAAAATTAAGATGGCAGTGTCAAAGCACTCGATCCAAGTTGATTTAAGTTCTGTTGGTTTGTATCAAATCGTCTCTAGTGGGATCATCGTCTTGACCTTTCAACTCATTTATATCGTTCCTTTTGTTAGTATGGATCTACCCTCTAGAGGAGGTCAAAGGTTCAATTGATGGGGGAACCCGTGGCATCGATTCATAGGCTATGGCGAAGGAGCATTTATACGAACAATTCACTTTTTATATATATATATATATCAAACAAGAATGAACCCTGACCAATTTGATTAAAAAAAAAAAAAAAAAAAAAAAAAACAAACTAAGAAGGGACTTGTTAAGACATGATTCACACAAGTCTACTATAATCCGCTGCCATATTCATGCTAGTTCGTGATGTTCGGATTTGATGAAAATCGACAAAGGATTTTTTGGATGTACCTAATCTCATTTGGACATGATTCAAAGAGGTATTCAATAAGAAATTCTTCTCAGACAATATGAAATTGAAGAAGATTTAGGAGTTTATGAAATTAAAGTATGGGGACATGACAATAGCTAAATATGTACGTAAGTTTGAGTATGATTGTCGATTTGTAACTTTTATTTCGAGAGATGCTTGCATAGAAGGGGGGCCACTTTGAGGGACTTGAAACTTAAGGTACATAGTCTAGTGCATGTGTTCATAAATGGTTATAGTTACATGGTCACTAAGGCACTAGAAATATAGTAACGTCGGAGAGAGGCACCATGGCTACAAAGAGCTAAGAGGCCGTTTGTTGCAAATAGGTTCAATGGGCAAGCTACTAAAAAGAGGCAACAAAGGGTAGAACCACAAGACAAGCGATTTACCTCAAATGTGGCCTACCACACATTAGGAATTGCTTGGTGGGCACCAATATATATATATATTGGAAAAAAAGTTGGGCATTTGGCAACTAATTGCCCTAAGAAGAATGCTTTGCATCGAGAGTGCTTGGGAGAGCATATATCATGACATAGGAGGAAGCGAGAGAGGGAGCATGCATTCGTGATATATGGTAATATTCTAGTTCATAACCTTATTGCATACACTTTAGTTGATTCGGGTGCATCACATTCATTCATGTCATGATCATTGTTGAGGAAATTGAGGGTGATACTCCAAACACTAGATGTTGTGCATAAAGTGGCTCTTTCATCAAGAGAGATATGGGAGTCTAGGAAGACGGTTAGGAGGTGTGAATTATATTGGTGATAATGTTTTGAAAGTGAAAAGAAATCTTGAGGATTTTGAGGTGATATTAGGCATAGATTGCTTACCCAAGAATGATGCATCAATTAATTATCTTGTAAAGAAGGTTGTGTTTCAACTATCTAGAGAGCAACCATTTGAGCTCCAAGTTGAAAAATGTTGCAATCCGTTTGTGTTATTTAGATAATGACGGCTTGGAAAATGGTTAGCAATGGATGCTTAGGTTATTTGGTCAACGTGATGGATACCAATAAGGAGGAGGGAAAGGCACGAAATGGGAGATATTGATGTAGTGAGGGGCTTCTTAGATGTTTTTCTTGAGAGATTGTCAAGTATGCCACCAAAGAGAGATGTTGAGTTTGAAATTGAATTTGAACCAAAAACAACATCAATTTCAAAAGCACCATATAGAATGGCACCTATAGAGCTAAAGGAGTTGAAAATTCGATTGCAAGAATTGTTGGACAAATGATACATTGGACCTAGTTGTTCACCATGGGGAGCACCATGTTATATATGAAGAAGAAGAATGTAATGATACGGTTATGCATTGACTATTGAGGATTGAATTGGGTGACCATTAAAAACAAGTATACGCTTTCTCTCATCAACAAATTGTGTTATCACTTGAGAGGGAGCTTGATATTTTCAAGGATTGACTTGCATCTAGATACCATCGGCTACTAACTTAGAGAGGAGGATGTAAAGATTTAAGAGACTTTTAAAAATTTACTAGTTATTATTGATTATTTTGTTTTTGATTATTTACTAGGGATGTGAGTTAAACCATGTTTTGGAGTTGCCACCTATTATTAAAAAAAAACTAGAAAACCTAAAAATAATACTCATTGAGAGATTCTAAAATAAGGAGTTAGTTATATTTTTGGAAAGATATCAATCACCCATAAGCACTCTTTCAAAGGAAAGGTACCATGTCTAGTTTAATCCTAAAAGTTTATCTCCTAAAAATTTTAATTTTTGCCAAATTATTTACGAGTCAACTTCCAAATTTGTTTCCTAAGCCAAATTAACTTTTTATTTTATTTTATTTTTATTTGTGGCATCATATTGAACCGATTGTCGGACTCGTCACTAGGAGTCTCGTCAATTCAACATCGAATTCGAGTTTAAGTCTCGACATAACCGGTATGTTGGAGAATGATCGAATTACTAAAGTTGATTGATATGACGTAATTAATGACATCAATTCCTATTAGATAGGAGATTTGTTAAATTGATCTAGCATTTCCTATATTTTTCTTTTGTTATTTTCTTTTTATATGTATTTTTTTTTATTGATGGTCAAGACTAATCATCAATCCCTAGTGAATAGAAGACTAGCTAGGTTGAATCGGATTCTCTAAATATCATAGAAGGTGTACTTTTTATGATGATGAACTTGAAGAGAAATTGTCATTAGTCCTAGAATCTAGGAAACTTAATGATATCTCATTGTATTGAAAATAAATCGAAATAAGTAGAAAACCTAATTCAAAAATTATGGAAATTAATATACGGACCAAGAATCAACTACGAGTAAACCCTAAAAATTATAGATTAGATAATCAAAGGATATTGAGCAAAAAAATTAAAATTTTAAATTGATCACATTAATAATTAAAATTGCGGCATAATGATAGAAAAATTCAAAATACGTAGCATGTGAGATTATAAAATTATGAAAATTAAAAAACAAGACATAAACAAACATATATACAAACCTTAGGATTTTTAGATGATAAAGATAAATGAAAATGGAATTAAAAATAAAATATCAAAGTAAAGTGTATTAGTAATTTTGGTATATGGTAGAATAATACAAAATGCTAAATAAATATAAAATGATCTCATAAAATTATAAAACTTGACAAAAATGTTATGTATAGACATATAAACATATCTAAACAAATTTAGATTAATAAGAAAGTTAATTCTAAGGAAAATATTTAAATTCCACATGTGATAGTACTAATTATTAAAACGAGGATAGAATAATAATTAAATAGCAAATAAATGTTAGATTGACCTCTAAAATTTTAAAAATTTAAATAAAAACCAAAAACTAACACATGAACAAACCCTTAGAATCTAAGATTAAAATAAAAGCAAATGGTAAGGTAAATAATTAAATTACATAAATAAAATATACTAAAAAATAAAAATAGGGCAAAATATTAAATAAATCAGAAATAAATATTAAATAAACACTTAAAATTATGAAACTTGACCTACATGCTAAGTACTAATACATCAAAAAGCCTAAAAATTTCAAATTAAAATAAAACTAAATAGATGACTAAATAATTAAATTCCATGAACAAGCAACAATAACAATTAAAAATAAGACGGAATATGAAATAAATGTCAAATAAATAGTAAATGCACCTAAAAAATTTATTAAAGGTTAAACACATGTAGGGATAATCATATGCATAAGCTCTAAAAAAATTAAATCAAAATATGCGAAGAAGGATTGTGAAAATGAGGGAAAACCAAAACTATCCCAAAGATTAAAACTTTATCAAATTTACCCCTAATCGGGAACCCAATCGGATGATTCTCATAAGTTTATAGACCAAAATTTAGAAGAGAAAAATTAGTCTTCTTCTTTCTCAATATTGGACAGAAATGCAGCCATGGAACACTGGAAAGCACCCTCATTTTTCCAAAGTTTTAGTTGGTTTTAACCTCTAAAATTTCATCCCCCTCATCACATAACAATGATTTTTATTCTAAGATTATTTTTCATTCAATATTTTTGGCCTAGAGAGAGTTTTTTAGAGAAAGAAAATGCACTGATGGATGAAAAATATTTTACCTTTTGAAGCTTTTCTTGGTGTGCAAATGAATGTAAAACTCCACAAGAATGACTTGAGGACCATCTCCTTCCTTTTCCTTGCTTTCTTTTTCAAAGAGACTTAAGTTCAATAATTTTCTTTTTTGATAGTGTTTTTTTTTTCTTTTTTTTTTGGTCCCCCTTTTGCTAGAATCCATTACTTCTCTTTAGCCTTTTTTATTTCATCATCATCTTGTATTTGAAATGATCCTAGCCTTTTATTTTTACGGCTCACCAAGCTTCCCAGCCCTTTGTTTTCCTGTTAATGTCTCTTTGTTTGTTTGGCTTTTTTTTTTTGGGTGCGGGTATGGCATTAGTAGGATTGAAGGCGAAGGACATTAGGTGGCTTAGGTTTTTTTCTTGGGTTTTAGGAAGGTAAAGGGTCTAAGGACAGTTGTGAGAAGAGTGAGTGTGTATGATAAAAAGGGAAGAAAAATTAGCTTCTTTGTCTTTTTGTGGTGAAAAAAATATGCTTGGAGAAAAAAGAAAAGGAATAATCCTTGATACTTAAAATAGGTGAGTTGCTAAATTGTCAGTTTAGTCTTTTATTCTTTCAATTTTGTGTAATCACACTTTTTATTTTCAATTCAATTTCACTCTTATTCACTTTTAATTTCGAGTCCCGATCTCATTCAATTACACCCCTATTTCATTCAATTTCATCCTTAATTATCTTTTAATTTCGATCCTGATTTTTTTCAATTCGAGTCTATGTTTCACTCAATTATATTGTTAATTAATTAGGTCATGCAATTTTTTCTTATTTTTTTGTATTTTCATTTTTTTTTGTGCAAAATAAAAGGAATTTGACTTTTTTTTTGACAAAATAAAAGGATCAATTAAAAAGAACTTAAAATAAAAATGTTAAAAAAACAATTGTATTTTTCTTTTCTCATTTTTTTATTTTTTTAGCTTCGGGAACCAAAACATGATTAAGATTTAATTAAGAAATAAATCTAAATTAAAATTCATGGATCATTAACTACTATGAAAATAAAAATAAATGAAAGAAACTAAGCCTAATTAATTTTAAGGGTCCAAAATTGGTTTATGATTGTTGCTTCCTCTTTAAAATACTTATGAAGCAATTCCTTTTTAACATACTTATGAAGCAATGCCGATGAAAGTATGAACTTTGGATTGGCTTTGCTCGGTGAGCTTGAAAAGGAAAAAAGAAGAAGAAATCTTGAGTGGCAAAAATGGTATGATTTCCATGGGTGATCGACCATGGAAATTAAAACAATAATGTGGTTGTCATAGGTTACCGGACACGAAAATAAAAGCAATGGTCTTATTCTCAAGAGTGACCTATGCAAAAAATAAAAGTAATGGTGTTGCTTTCAAGGTTGACCTATCTAGAAATTAAAAAACAATGTTCTAACAAGGTTAGAGAGATGAACCTCTAATGGGTGATCTAATAAAAAAAGATATATGAAGCTGCTTTGGGTGATCTTTTTCTTTTTGAAATTGCGATTGGAGAAATGAACATTTGATAGGTCATCTAATCAACAAAGACATACGAATCATTTTTGGTTATCTTTTTCTTTTTAAAAACAAAATCAAAGAAACGAACCTTTGATAGGTGGTTTGATAAAAAAAGATACACAAATCGCTTTAGGTGATCTTTTTATTTTTGAAAACAAGATCGAAGAAATGAACCCTTGATAAGTGGTCCGATCGAAAGAGATATTTGAATTGCTTTAAGTAATATTTTTCTTTTTAAAAATGAAATCAAAGAAACAAACCCTTGATAAGTGATTCGATAAAACAAGATATACGAACCACTTTGGGTGATCTTTTGTTTTTGAATACGAGATTAGGGAAACGAACCTTTGAAAGGTGATTCGATAAAAAAAGATACACAAACTACTTTGGGTGATCTTTTTCTTTTTAAAAACAAGATCGATGAAATGAACCTTTGATAAGTAATTTGATCGAAAAAGTATACAAGTGATCTTTTCATTTTGAAAATAAGATCCAAAAAAAGAACCTTTGATAGGTGATTAGATTGAAAAAGATATACGAACCATTTTAGGTGATCTATTTCTTTTTGAAAATGAGATTAAAGAAATGAATCTTTGATAGGTGATCCAATAAAAAAAGATATGCGAACTATTTTAGGTATTTTTTTTTTTTGAAAATAAGATCGAAAAATGAACCATTGATCTAATAAAAAAACGATATATAAAGCTGCTTTGGGGATCTTTTTCTTTTTTAAAACAAGATCGAAGAAACGAACCCTTGATAGGTGATCCGATAATAAAAGACATACAAACTACTTTAGGAGATCTATTTCTTTTTGAAAACAAGATTGGAGAAAAAAAACCCTTTGATTGGTGATCTAATTGAAAAAGATATACGAACCATTTTGGGTGATCTTTTTCTTTTTAAAAATAAGATCATAAAAATGATCCTCTAATCGGTGATCCAATTAAAAAAAGATATATGAACCACTTCGGGTGAGTTGATGAGATATTTTTCTATAATACATCAATAAAACTAATTGCAATAGTTAGTTTCTTACTTGTGGGAAACATAGGCTACACTTTGGACACTCACCTTTTCTTTTGTTGGATTGCTACTAGTGAAGTTGAAATAAAATTATACTAGATTATTAGCTTTTGGTTTGCTTGAATAGCTGTATTACCTCCTAGTTTAATGGCTTTAATTGCTTTGGATGATGCTTAAATGCTTGATGTCTAGGCCCTCATCACATTAGTTAACTTTATAATGTCATTGTCTAATCAATTATCCAACTTGGTTCGAGTGGATAGATACTTGGCCTTACTCTCTAAGTATTATCAATTTTATGAATTACCATTCGGTTTGGATCATGGAATGTCCCCAAGTAATTTTTGAGATCATATATTTGCTACTTTCTTTTCACAATCACTACCTGTGTTTGGATTTCATCTTTTGAGGCTTGCTTTTCAATTTACAACTTGTTCTTAAAATTTTCACCATATTTTAAGAAAATCATTAAACAAACATTGATTTTCATAGATTAAGCTACAAACGTGAATGATTCTCTTAAATGCAATTCAGATCGTTTGAAAGGAATGTAGAGATGTTCTACTAATAGCACTTTCATTCATGAAAATATTCAAATTGATTGATCAAGAGTCAAAATATGACACTCAAACGCTATGATGTCATTTCCTCAAGATGGTTATTAGGCTAAACATGTAAAATGTGTTTGGGCATGCAAGATTTCTATGAAAATGTGTTTGGGCCTTCTTGGTGAACGTAAGAGGTTAAGTAGAATGTATTTTGAAAAATGAGTTCTGAAGGTTAATCTTTTCTAAGAACAACTTGATTTTGATTTTTACTTGCCCTCATGTTTTTTTTTTAAAAAAAATTATGATTTGATGTCACAAAGAATAAAAAATAGCATACTAACTAGTCTTTTTTTCAAAATTTTTAAAATCATTATTCTTTTTTTTTTTAAGATTAAAATTTATCAGCGATAAGCAAATTGTCCTTGATAAAAAAAGGGCTTGTATAAACGAGGTAATGTATGCTATGGCTTAAGCTCATGAAACAATGAATACATAAAGGCTCAAAAGTATTTAAGGATGTTATGACATAGGATTAATTTATTATCCATTGAAGTCTTTTTAGGAAATGCCGTATGGACTTTGTCACTTTAGTCGTTAGTTAGGCTTTTGTGTTATCTTGATAATCATGATAACTTCTTGTTTTTAGGCTTGTTGTAGTGACTTTTTCATTTTGATTGTTGAATTTTTTTTTTAGCTGAGCCTCAACTCTCATTATCTCGTTTATCTAAATTTTTACTTCCATATTGACTTATAATTATCCATTAGGGATGCTTTCTTCTTTTGTTTCTTATCTTATCTTTTCTTTCTTTTAGTTTGACATTTACTTTTGTTTTTGGAATCATTGATGGGGTTCCTTTGATAGATTTTTTTTGAGAATTCATTAACAATTTATGGACTTCGATTCGCCTTCTAGTGTGAAGGGTGATCCTAGTCTATGTTAGCATGAAAGAAATCATCAAGGCTCAAAGTGAGATAATAAAGGATAATTTTTTTTAAAAAAGATATATGAAAGATGACATTTCTTCATCTCCAAAGCTAATTTCCCTATGTTGATAAACACTAATATTTTTTGAAAAGCAATGATTAATTTGGAAAACCCTTAGGTTAACTGAAGAGAAGAAATAATGAATGTAATTTGGGATCATGACTAGAGGATATACTCTTGATCATTATTTAAGACACCAATCATTTAGTTTTTCAAACTTGGGCTTCATAATATTTTCCTAGGCAAAGTTTTCATTTAAGGATTTATTTAGGAAATGAAAGAGAACTTCTTTTTAGTTTCAACAAAAGAAGTGATTACCCTCTTACTTTCTACTCGGAAAGGTTATTAGAAATAGAAATGGGATCTTTGGTTTAATGGAGCTGAGAAATTACACCTAACATATACATGTCATGTTTTGAAATTTGATCAATCTTTTGAATACTTTGAATGAATTTGTCATTAAATTTTCTTGATGGAGGAAGATGTAATTCCAAATAATGCTTTCAAATGAATATCTTTTGATTTTAGATAAGATAATATGAAATTACTAGAAGTGAGCGGGAGCTTTTTTCAAAGATATGGATCGGTCCCTCCATAGCCAAAATGTTTTTTTTTTTGTTAGAAATAGAGTTTAAAATTTGAAAAAATTAAAAACCATAGTTGCAAGTTATGAGCATACATGAATTTTTTTTTCAAACTCACTTAGTATCTTCATCTCTTGCCTTGACAACTATATGGTTTGGAAGTGGGTTCGTGTTCAAATTAGGTACATGTAGACCACTATCAAAACCGATCCAAACTAGCTTGATCAAACCCAAACAGACTTCTTCATAAAAGCACATGAATGATATTCACTCCTCTCATCTTGTTTGCACCAAAAAGGATAAAGGTGTTGTATTGATTTAGTAGGTAGTGGTGTGATTAGCCTAACGAGTTACTCGGCTCTCAAAAATTTCATCCAACAAGAAAGGTAAGAGTGATAATTGTTCAAACTTTTTTTTTAAAAAATCTTAGTTATT